TAGTATTTCTAATCCTAATAGTTACTAATTTTGTTTAATGTATTAGGAAATGTTGCTTAAAGATTATTATAAATAGGTCGTAATTTCACTAATTGGGAAATTCAAGTATTTAATAATATGTTTTGAGGGTTTCTCTTTTTCTTGGTCTTGTGATACAATCAAATTCTGAAGTGTATTACTTGAGACTTTTTAGATGTAATGTCTAAGAGAAACCCTAGGTGTGATATTTAGGTTTTTTTTTTTATTCTCTAAAATCCTAATTGGACAAATATACCCTATTTCTCCTACATCAGTTTTGCTTGAGCACAGTAGAGCTAAAATGGCCAATGAGTAACCCATCTGAGTGAAGTACTTTTATGTGTAAGAACGAAGTTCAGAGGTTTGGGTTTAGTTAGAATGCTAGGCTGTTAGGTACATAAGGTAGAACTCATCTTTTAAAGTACTTTGTAGATAACGAACTAGGAACAAAGCTGTTTTTCTACTCTATTTCTCCATCTTCCTCCATAATTCTCCTTTAGTAATATCATATGACAATTAGGGGTATCAATGGACATTATTAGCATTAGACTCAATGGTTGGAAAGAAAATAAGGGATGAATCCAATGAAATTAAAAATGAAGTGAGTAAAGAAGTAAATTGCCTGAAAAGGAACTGGCGATTGAGATTGGAGACCTCGATGCGGTCCATGTCAATGACCTCCAGATTTCGGAAACCCGAAAGAGCCAAGTCCTTGAGAAGCTCACACCCCAACCCACCAGCACCTACGACTAGGACTCGCGCATACTTGTGCAGGTCGTCCCTCAACTGCAACAAATCCCAGACTAAAGTTTCAGACAACAAAACTGAAACATAGAACAATCGGATTAATAAAGCATAATGGCAAATTAATTGTGTGTGAAAATGTCAAGGAGGAGGGTAGAAAGGCTGAGACTGACTTCGGTGCCGGGTTCGAAGGTGGAACCGACGAGATTTCCAGGCCGGAGAAGGAGTTTGTCCAGGTCCCTGGTTCGGCTCTTCGCGGAACCTGACTCTGCCATTGCAGTCCCTCCGTCGCCCTCTATCACAGTGATAAAACTTTTAAATTGAGAAAGGTAAAAGCACAGAAGACTGAAATTCGTCTACTTTGAGGTATCAGAAGAGCGATTTCTCCTTTTTTTTTTTTTTTTTTTGTTTTTTGGTTTGTTAGGTTGGTAATGGAGAAGAGCAAGTTTCAGTGCAAGAGAGAGTGAAGGAGGAGAGGTTAAGCTTGGATGTTACGCGTAGGGGTGGGTGTCGGCTCACGCATCAATGGGTCCTTGAAAACAATGCTTAGCTTGTTCAAATTCAGCCCAAAATAATTATTGATTAAGATTAATAACATAAAAAATACCAAGATATTTTTATTATAAAGTCTGATAATTCGAGTTCAATTCTTATCTCTTCGTTTTTTATTTCATTTCAAAGCCCAACTCCTTTTTAACTCTCTTTATGGAACCCAAATTCCTGCCCCCACACCCCATCGTCTAAAACCATTGGCCACAGTTTGTCCCTTTTGTTAATTTAATATTTCTCTTTACAAATATTACCTTTTTTCATTAGCATTATTATTGTGATTTATTAGAAGTTACCCATCGTGTTGAGGTGAAAAATATTCTTTTACGATAACTTACCAAAATGAAAGAAAACAATAGAAGATTAAAGTTTGATAAACTCATTCAAATCCTATTTTTTCTTGTTACATTTTATTTTATTTTCTTATTTATTTATATTTTTGTCATATATTTTAAAATTCTTTTCTAAAATTTATATGTAAATCATGATTAAATTATTACGTAAATGTTTAATATTTTTTTTTTTTATTATTTTATCTTAAAACTTTTGTAAAAAAAAAAAAATCAGTGTAATAATAATGTTTGATCCATTTTTTAATAGGATAAGTGACAACTCTCCTATTTTTTTTAATTAAAAATTAAAATTTCTATAGAATTATTTCATAATTTGTGTCACCTTAATGATCACAACCTTCATCCTTCAATTGAAAACCTACTAAAAAAAATGGGTTGGATTATATCGAGAGCACCTTGAAGCAATTGTAAACAATATTTCAATCAAAATAAAGATTAACAACGGTTTCTGTCTGTAATTTGATTCTTCACTTCCATGGATAATGTAGCATTAGAAATGTGTAAACATCTAGAAGATTCTTATTCTTAGTGGATAAATTCATATTCTTGAAAAAAGTTTGAGTAGATCTTTTAAAAGTAATCTCAAAAACTCTATGTTTAAAATATTTTAAATTTAACTACAAAACCTTACTAGATGACATTAGATAAAGTTATTATTGCAATATTCATTCCCACCAAGACATAGATAACATTCTTTCTTCTTCAATATACTTGTGAAGAGGATTTTTATGCAAAATCTTGCAACAGAGGATCTTACGCCTTACCCATATCTTAGTTTCCTAGATAAGGTTCCAACATTGAACCTTATAAAGATTCCTTTACTATCTTAAGTCCAAATTCATTTATCAAAAATATCATTAGGAATTAGTTTAATTACACTATTATTAGACGAACTAGAGAGCAAACACACACATCACCCAAGTTTGCCTTCATGTATATGTTGGCTAACCTATGTTAGCCAAATTCTTTGAATATAAAGAACCAAAAGTCTTTCCAACTAGTAATAGTAAATCCATTATCCACCATTTTGCATGCTCTTTTAAAGTGGATAGTTTCAGATTTTAGGATTTCTTTACAAAGAAAATATTATGTTTTTTTAGCCCAATTCATAAAAAATCATAATTTCTTCGTCATTGAACGTATTTTGTTTATGCTATTGACAATTTTAACATGTGTTGTTTGTATTACCAATAGATAATATCTTATGTATTACACTTATTTTAATAAATTTTCATTTCTCTTTGCTACAACATATATTAATATTTCTATAAGATTATAGAATATTTTGTATCATGGCTAGAGCTTACTAACACACCCTTCATCAGTAGTGAAACATGCTTCTTCAAGTAATATTATCTAATGTAGACCCACACCTCTTGTACCATTATCACAAACCTTTCTATAGACCATAATCTTGCATCCCTTACTCCAAGCAATTTAGGAACCCATTTTAAGCAATCATTACAGGTTTGGGTCTCAAACTGGTTGTTGACCTTAGTAATTATAATTCCTCTCCTAAATCCTCAGCTGATTCACCCCCCAATTGTATTCACAAAATAATCTTAAGACCTTGTACAATGGTTAAATGGCATACATATTTAACAAATAACTTGTCAGATAAGCCTTCTACCTATTCAAAAGTCAGGTCTTATTAAAATTAGAGAAATGTCATGTGTCAGGAGTCTAATGCATTGATCAAAAACTAGACATGGGCTTTTGTCTCTTGTCTTCTACAATGTATTTTTTTTTTGTAATAAATGGGTTTACAAAATTAAAAATAATTAAATAATTATTTAAAAATATTTAAAATTATGACTGAATAATACAATCGAAATAAAAACTTAGACTAGCTTTCAATCCTACAGTTAAATTTACCACAATCAGTCTTTTTTAACTATAATAATATTTATAAGATGAGAGGTGCATTAGATTAGTATTCCTAATACTTTCATACATGATGATCTTCAAGAGACTGTCTATATGTATCAACTACAAGACTTCATCAATGATGAATTTCTTCATTCGTGCAAACTAAAAAAAGAACTCTATGGTTTAAAATAGGTTCCATAAGCCTAGTTTTAGAAACTTACTCTATTTTTATAATCCAAAGCTTCTATGGGTCTAAAGCTGATACATCATTTTCTATAATATCACTTAAATGCATAACTCTCATTTATATTTATTTACATTGATAATAGATATACTTGTTACGGATATTTCATCACACACTGTTACTGATCTAATTAAGTTCCTCTAATATGTGTTTATTGTTAAGTCTTTTAATAAGTTGAAATAAATTTTAATTTAGAAATAACATGGTCAAAATGAGCTCCAATTATTTCAAATTAAGTACCTACAAGATTTATTA